ACATTTGCTAATGTCCGGGCGGGGGGCGGGGGGTGATGAACAGCAGCCTCTGAAGCATTTTTAGCATTTGGTGGCAAGCTGTCCAAAACGCAACCTCAAATCAACATGAAAATTCATATTATGGTTCATAGATGGGAGTTCTTAGCAATGCTCTCTGTCTGGTAGTTAAGTGTAATTATTTATGATGGAGCTAAGGAGTGAACTCAAGAGTGTTAACATGAAGCATAACCAACTTAAAAAGTCTTTTAGAAGCCTTATCAGCCCATCCTAGACACTACTTCAAAACAGCTGCGCTGATTTCCAGATGGCCTCGTGATACTAAAGCAATTCCACGGCAGGTGAGTGCGCAGGAGGAAAACGTGCCTGGGGCGAGGCCTGACTCTGCAAACCAAGCTACCAGCAGAAGGCGGTTTTAGAATCTGCTCTGTGGGCTGTCAGGATTTTTTAAATTCTAGGCTCACTGTCTAGTAGAGGGAAAGGACCTTCAACAGGAAGTTGTGAACTGAGATGTGCAAGATGTTCCGGGGGGTCTCATGTTGATTCTGACATGGTGACATGGTTAGACCCCATGCGCAAGGGGCGCTAGCCCTCAGAGAAGATACAAGAGCTGAGGGGCAGACCTTGGGTAGCTTTGAGAGAGGCCTCAGGCCCTTGTGCCATCATCCGGTGTTCTGCAGGGAAGTGGACATCAATTATGCTGTCCCCCAGTTCCGGCCAGCTAAGAGTTGAAAAGGAGAAATTCAGGTAAGAGTGCGGCTTCTTTCTGGTGTCAGATGGTGTGGGCATGTAAGCTCGGAGGGCAGGGTGTGCCTCTTAAAGCGGAGTATCTATCCAGAGCTGAGCATCTCAAAGTGGGGTCCTGGGGCCACCTAAATCAGAACCTCAGATGACATTCTACCCCAGACCTCACAGATCCAGTTCCTGTGAGGTAATTTTAAGCACATTAAAATTATAGAACCAGAAATCTAGAGCCGTAAGATTTTGTTATTTTCTAGACTTAAACGTCAGTTTCTTACAGCATGGCCTTTCTCAGCTGCCCTTTAGCCTATCTTGGTGGCAGCAGTCATCGGTAAAAACCCCCCAAGGGGTGTCCTTCCAGTGCCAACAGTGGAGTTTCTGGGCCTTCCTTTTGTTAAGAAAGGTGGTACTTCTTAACAAGATGGGTATCAGGTGAAGGGGGCTAATACAAACACAACAGAGAGAGAGAGGAGAATAATTCTTTCCCAGGAAATGTGGGAGAGCTTCTCTGAGACCTTTCCTAGAGGTCTATAAAAGACAGGTTGCTGTCTCCATCAGTATTCAAGAGCTTTTAGCATCCATACTCTCCCGAAATAAGACACAAGACTCTTGGCTTTAAGCCCTAAGATGCCAGGCAGCCTGTAATCGAAGAAGCTGGCTTAATCATGCTGCTTTTCTGGCATATGACTCACTCACCCCAAACATGAAGTAGCCAGGTTTCTCCACCAGATATGCCTTGGGTGATTGACTTAATACAGCCATTAGTAGTGAATGGTCCTGTCTTCACCACACTGGCCTTTGTTTTTACCTTTAGCTAATGTCACGTTGCCCTTGATCCTGCACTTCTTCTTACCTTTAAAAAAAAAAAAATCCCCCCAAATTATCCTTATATTACTATTAATGTCAACTAGATCCCTATCAAAGGACAGTCAAGCTTAATCGCCCACATTAAATCTGCAGAGTGCTTCTGTGTCACTGTCTGTTCCGTTAGCTTTGACATCACACTAAAGTAGGACAGCATGTTCCAAACAAAAACTGAAACCGGAACGTAGGACCTTTGCTGGTGTAGCTTGAAGGGAGGGTTACAAGCCTGGCACCTGGCCTCTGAAACTTCAATAAGATATAGGCTAAAATGTACCTAGCAAACTCACAAGGCTCAAAGTAGGGTATGAGCAGAAAAATATTTTTTTTAAACAGATGGGGGCACCATTCCTTAAGGACTCATCCTTTCTAATCAGTTGTGCATGTTCTTTGTTCCTGTCTCCCTGGTACTATATTAAAAATGATGATGGTAAAGTTTTCTGAAACGTTTTCAGAAGATGGCCCAAGCCAGTGTTCAAAAGTAACATCTTAAACTTTCAAAATTAAAATTTGAGGAAAAATAGAAAATCAGATTTCAAATAGAGACATCTAGCTGGACAACAAGCTTATCAAGGACAGGGACCATGATTCTTATTTTTTGTATTCACATCCCTGATATAGTGCCCGACACACAGTAGGTGCTCGATAAACAGGAATTTCCAACTGTTTCTTCCTACTGGTTGAGGCCAGAGCAAACCCCGGTTCTGTTCTCCGGATGAACTGAGCAAACCAACTTTACAAATCACAAGCAAATTAGAATATATAATTTTGTCTAAGCTTGCCAAAAAGCTAAGATTTTGTGAGCTACCTGAAATTTGCATCTCATACTGAAATTTTCTAGATCAGGTATCTGATGAAATATATTACTGCCAGCATTTTCTTTTGTCTGGACATCTGTTACTTTAATACAGCAGACATTACTTGAAATACAGAAAAAGAAAAAGAAGATGATTTAGAATTTGGATGATTTCTGCAGTCCAGTCAGATATTTTTGCCAGGCACAGATCTGGCAGAAATGCTAAGATGAGCTTCTCTGGTACTGGTGTGAGAGTCTTACAGTGAAAGAGCTCTGTTCAGCGGGTCAGTAAACTCAGAGCCTACCTCAGGCTCTGACACTTGGTCCTTGTGCAACCTTGGATGGCCAAGTCGCTTCTTTGTGAGCCTGTATCCTCAACTATGAAGTGACAGAGCTGCCCTAAATGATTTTTTCAGATCTCTACAAAGGGACTCCCTAAATCTAAATTTGAATGCAAACATGTGCAGAGGATGTGCTCCAGTACCACCCTTTAATACCCTTCTGGTAGTCTTAACTATTGTAATTAGGTAAAAGAAAGAAATATGAGGTATGAATACTGGAAATGAGAAGGCAAAATCATCATTACCTGTAAACGATGATTAGTGGATCTGGGACATCCAAATGAAGCAAATGAAAAAAAAATTTTTTTTAAAAGGGAGGGCTTCCCTGGTGGCGCAGTGGTTGAGAATCCGCCTGCCGATGCAGGGGACACGGGTTCGTACCCCGGTCCGGGAAGATCCCACATGCCGCGGAGCGGCTGGGCCCGTGAGCCATGGCCGCTGAGCCTGCGCGTCCGGAGGCTGTGCTCCGCATCGGGAGAGGCCACAGCAGTGAGAGGCCCGCGTATCGCAAAAAAAAAAAAAAAGGGAAATCCATTAAAATGCCTATATCAAAACATTAACATTTAGAAGTATATACAGTGGAAGAAAGGCTCCTCTCTACAATATAAACAAACAAACTAGTGATAAAAAAAAAGGAAGATATTTGCAAGACCTTCATTAAAAATAAACTTTCCGGTTAGAGAAAAAAGACAAATGAAACATCAGCCCCACTTTTATTAACATTTAGCAGGCACTTCACTGTTTAAAGCACTACATTAAGCGTTTTAATTCTCTCACTTGCTCATCACAACTTAGATAATATTATTGTCCCAATGTACAGAAACTGAGACTTGGATCGAGGTCACAGAGCTAGTATGTGATGGAAAGAACCCAGACAGTATTCCTCAGGGTTCCACCACACTGCCAGGTCTACAGAATAGAAGAGAGAACCCAGAAACAGATCCAATTACTTTATGGGAATTTACTTTATGATTCATATCAGTGGAAAATAAGAGAGTTCTTGGCTAGCTGGATCCTTTATCAAAATAAATTCCAGGTAGATAAAAGATTTAAACCAAAGAAGACGAGAAGGAAAGAATGTGGAGAAGGAAGAGGAAAAAAAAGGGGGGGGGAAGGGGAGAGAGAAGTGGGAGGGAAAAGCCATAAAAGCACTAGAAGAGAACATGGGTAAAAAAGATACATGAACTTGGAATGGAGACAACTTGACAAGATACAAAATTCAATAGATATAAAAACTACTAAAAGTCAAAAAACAAACTACAAACTGTGACACGTGACAGAAAATTTCCTTAAATTTGCAAGGAATTTCTAACACGTAGCAAGAAAAAGACCACAACCCAAAAGCAAACAAAAGAAAGAAAAAAGGTCAGTAAATATATGTCAACCTCATTCATAATAAAGGAACACAAATCAGAACCATGAAATATTTTCCATTTCCATCATCTTGGCAAAAACTAAATGATTAGATAATATTTGATGTCAATAAGGATGTAGGGAGATGGAAGGCAACTGGATCACCTCTGTCAAGATTTTAAACACTCAGTCACTAAACCAGAAGTTCCAGAGCTAGAAATGAATTTGTTCTCTGAATACAGTATATAAGGATGTTCACTGAAGCAGTATTTGGAATATCAGTAAACTGAAAACCTAAAAATCCAACACTAAGGCCTGGTTAAATAAACTTTAAGCCCATCCATAGAGTTAAATGCTATAAAATTGTTTTTTTTTAAAATCTATACATACCAAAATAAAAAGTCCAAGATATATTAAATGAAAACAAGATGCAGAATAGCATAGGAAAGGTAAAAGTCCATTTGCATTAAAGAAAAAAAACAAAAAGGAGAAAATACACATAAAATTCTGGGAAGCTACTCAAAAAACTAGTGAGTACCCTCTGAAGAGTCCAAATGGCAGGCAGAGAGAGATGAAAAAGTAACTTTTTTTTTACTATTTGAATTTTTCTTAACTATCTGAATTTTTTTCCCCATGCACATGTATGTAACTTTCACAACTTTTTAAAAATGAATTCAACAAAAGATCATCTCAACACTGAACAATAAAGACACACACTTCAAGGCAGTTTTTTTTTTTTCAAACATTTACTGAACACAAACACCATTTTTTCCTATTACACAGCAATATTGTTAGTTTCAAATTAGCTGGGCTATTAGGACTGTCAGTTACCACGAAATTAAAAATGATTCTACATGTCAAACTCAAATAGAAAATGTCATGCAATATATAAATCACTAACAGGCCTCTGGTGCAGTCAGCAAGTTCACTATGTTTATTAAAGTCATGTAAATGGTTTGACAAAAGTGCACAATAGAATGACATCACTGGTTTGTTACAAATCACAGTGAATTACTAGAATACAACAATGTAATTCCTCTACGTGGAAGATTGCAGGATGGGGTGAATATTATAAAGGATAGGATCTTTCAACACGTTAAGCCAGTCAGAGTTTACTCCCCAGCTGTATACTTGATTGGTTAGCAAAGCTGAGGTTATTTTCCCTCATCTTTTCTCCTCTACCAGTTACTAAGCAACAACAACAAAAAAAGGCCATGCACAAATTTTACAACACCTGATAAAAAAAAAGTTACAAAACCTTGTGCATCGCTTGGATGAAGCTTACATCTTTGCTCCTTCATTTTTCTGATTAGGCCACTCACCACATGACTCACCCCTAAATGAAAAGCTGTTAACAATTTAGCACTTCTCACCCCTGCACACACATCAAGGTACACTCCCCATAACCATCAAGTCGGTGTCCCTTTCCTATATGTTAACACAAATGAACACACCACAAACCTAGGACTAGAGACCACATTTACTTTACAGTTTTAAAAATTAATATATCACCACTATCCATGTAGTATTTATTTCAGATCCCATATTTGGAGAAGGTACTGTACAACGCAGCCCACCTGAAGATTTGGGCAAATCTGCCAGGAATGTATGAGAGAGCTCGGCAATGTGCCATACACATTAGGAGCTCTCTACTTTCCAGAGAAGGTATCCAGAGCAGGGCTGTGCATTTTCAGAGTCGGAGTCAACACACAGCTTAAAATCTTATGGACCAATAACTTTTCATAGAGCAAAAGGCAGAGGTTTGTTTTCTTTAACCCATTTTAAGGTTATAGTCAGTGAGGGAAACGGAATAGTCATCTGTACACTGATACATCTGGCTAGCCTGAAAAGGAACATTTAAGACATTTTACCATAAAAGCACAGAAAACCTACCATAAAAGCAAGTCCTTTATACTTTTATCCATCTACTGTCTAGTTCCATCACTGGCTGCTTCTAAAACCAGCAAACTAATCCAAGGTCCAGCAACTCATTCCTCACCCTGCCCCATTCCCCCAGAAAGAAATGCTTCTGCTTGAATAATCTAAAGTGGCCTTATTCCTCAAGTAGCTGCCTCAACTGAGATGGAGACTAGTGACAGGGTACTGGTCCCTTGGGATTCTGCTTTTCAAAACCACTTGCCAAATGCAGAGCTGACACTCACGGAGCTGCTGCCCCCACATCACATTTTACTTCAAACAGTGCTATCATGCCCAAGTTTCTCATGATTACAGTTATTAATCAATGATCAGGGTAATGCAGTAAAACCCTTCCCAGAAACAAGCAAGACCAAAGTTTGCTTTTTGGTTTGTTTGTTTGAAGTGCCCACAGCAAAGAACCTTAAGGTAGCTGGACTGTGGCCTACTAGAGAGCAATCCGGGGTAGACTGAAAACAATGTTGTGTCAGAGTTCTTATGTCAAAATTTCCTTTCTGATCAGTTGAAGGATGGATTTGCTGCCCATTCCTTGACTTAAATAGTTACCTAAACTCAAGAGTTCAATTTTACCAACTCTTAAGTGCAAAACCCACCCAAGGGTTCACATGGTTTGCCCAGGCATTCATCCACTTGGGCCTCTAGTTAACTAAATTTATATGACAATTACTGAGCAAGACCAAGAAGTTTTGATTGAATTTGTAATGTTATCAAGGAAGACATACAATCTAAAGCATAATTCTACCAATAATAAACACAAAATGACAAAAGTGGCTAAAAAATGGCAACAGCCCAGAGTTCTCAGAGAGCTGAGATACAGAACTATCACCTTTCTTATTTATTTTCTTAAAAAAACAAAACAAAACAAAACTTAAGTTTGGGAAGGGTTTGGCTAAACAGATTTTAAAATAATTCTACCAAAAAAAAAAAAACAGGCATGTAATCACTTGTTTCAAGAATGGTTTTATACAGGTGTTTCACAATACATATTTGGATTCGTTTTACAAGACAGAATTAGATCCTTAGCAATATAGTGCACAATGTACTGCTATACCATAGTTTAAAAAAAAAAAATCTCGGTTACCATTAGCAAAGTTCATAGTCCATTCCACTGTCTTCAGATTTTTTCTCCAGCTTTGTCAGCATTTCAATCAGCAGTTTTACTCTCTCCAGCATTTAGTCCTCCCTTCTCAAAAACACTGAGTGTCATTAAATTTTGATGTCTGAATATGTACAGATAATCATTATCCTCGTTTTATAAGTAGGTAATATCTAAAATAGTTCTCGTCCTGGGTAGCCAAATGGATGAAATGGTTTTTAAAACATGCAACATTATCTGATATTTTAAGTTTTGATGTTTAAAAATCATATGCATTAATAATGGAACCAAGGGCTTCCCTGGTGGCGCAGTGGTTGAGAGTCCGCCTGCCGATGCAGGGGACACGGGTTCGTGCTCCGGTCCGGGAAGATCCCACATGCCGCGGAGCGGCTGGGCCCATGAGCCATGGCCGCTGAGCCAGCGCGTCCGGAGCCTGTGCTCCGCAACGGGAGAGGCCACAACAGTGAGAGGCCCGCGTACCGCAAAAAAAAAAAAAAAAAGGAACCAAGTAAATACGAAGTATCATAGCTATTCCTCAGACCGTCAAATAAACAGGCCTTGAAGTCTGAAAAATACAGGGTCTGATCTGAGCTGTGAAAAAGGCGTGATTCACTCACCTGGAGGATGAGCATTTTCTCTTTCATGAGAGTTGCCAAGAGCAAGGTATAGTAGTTCCCTGATTCACACCAGGAAGATCAAGGCCAGTAATTTTCAAATTAGGGCTCATTCAGATACCTCCCTTTAGACCATCCTAAAAAACCTTCCTTGTAAAAATCTCAGGTTAGGAAAACAGAAATATATTACTATGACAGAATTTACCATCAAAACATTCCTAACTGAAGCAAGAAGACACGTGAAGTATAACTACAGCACAGTAAAATTATCTTGCGTTCTTGGGGGAAGAAGTTTTTAAAGTACCCCCATCCATTCCCTCCTATCCTTCAGAGTGTTTCATTTCATGGGGTACCTATTTTATTTAAGGTCCTAGGTGCTGATTTTGGCTTAGTCATTATGTTTTATACTGATCCGGCTGCAACCTTTTTCTTACACTTCACAAAGCAATATCCATACATAAAATGTTAACTGAAACCTTACCAGTGGTTTTTGTTGTTTTTTTTTTTAGTTTATATCTGATGTTGCTGCATCATTATAATGCTTTTCATTAAAGAAAAAAAGCTGCAGGTCTTCACTTACAGTACCATGCACTATGAGTAGCTAAGGCATTCACTTGGCACTAGAGAGAAAATTACAGATATAGCTAATTTTATTTTCTTTACCATTTTTAACATTGAAAGAAATAGGTGTGTACCCTTTACTTGAATTTCTGTGATGCTTAAAAGATAATCACAGAATATTCTTTTGACAGTTTACAATGTTGCCATTAAAACAAAACAAACAAACAAACAAAACCCATAAAGACCTCTGTACAGCCTGTCGGAATAAGCGACATTTTGTGGTTCCAAAATTTGCTGCCCTCAGGCAGAAATATCTTTCCAAATGGCATTGAGAATTATTTTTATTATCAAAAACATTTAATTTCCTATACCACACTAGTGATTTTTCTACTTGTCACAGACTGAATAAAGTGAAAAAATTAAAAATATCCCAGTTCCTTTTCATCTGTCATAAAAACCTTCTTAGGGAGGCACAAATAATGCCCTCTGGAAAAGTAGTTTCCAAGTTTAAAAGATACCGCACAAGAGGAAAGGGAGAAGGGGACAAAAGAAGAACATATAACTATATTGTGACAATTTGCTTCCTAAGAGAGAACACAGCATTCATAATTTTTACATGTCTGTGAGCTGAGTCAAATGCAGACTGCTGCAATTTAGATTAATTACATTAAAACAGAGACTTCCACACATTTTAGAGTCCAAGCCCAAAGGCAAATAGTCCATCAATATTCTCTGAAAAGTTGCTTTAAGATTTACTGCTGTATATGTACCACCCAGCATAATTCAACAATTTCAATGGATTTAACTTTATAAATTTGTAACTATTATTAAGTTAGCACATTTTTCAGATTAATCTGCAGTTATATTTTTAAAAATCCTCCTGACGTTATAATGCGTTGATCTCTTCACATAAATAATGGAAGAGTGAAAACTACCTAGAGCAGTTTGGCATGTGCAGAACATCTAGATATTCCATTACTTTTAATGTTCCTTTTCGTTGTTTTTCTTCATGATCCTCAAAACTGCTGCAGAGAATAACATGCTGACACAGGCTTAACAGAAATACTTTTCTAGGCAGTTTTTTTTTAAACATCAACTTCAAATCATAAGGGCCCTTGTTACATAAACAAAATATTTTATATTCATTCCTTAAAAAAAAGAAACATAGTTAAGTGACCAATATCCAAACACCTTAGATTATAGTTACACCTAAACAATGTGGTTTTGTTTAAAGTGTATTTGAAATCAGTAACCACATGAGGCAAGAAGACCAAATACAAAACTAAGGAAGGATGAGTAGGGAGGAAGGGTAGTGGAAAGAAAAGCACATTTTATGAACACATAATTCTATTGTCTGTGATTAAAGTCCTTTACTTTTTAGCACCACATTAAATGATTTTACATATCCAGTCACTTAATGAAATCCAACAAATTCTTCAAGAGTTCTGGGGATCTGGTCTTGGTAGTTAATGTCATTAGCCCGAACTGCCCGGGCGGCCAGGCACTTGAGACTCATCTTCATTTGAGTTTTAAGTAGTATTTCTGATACCCCAGTTGTACTTTTGTCTAGCGGAGTCTTATTCTGTTTATTTGTCATGTCGGTGTGAGCGCCAGCTTCAACTAGGCTAATGATGATAGAGTGCAAGGTCAAAAAATCACTTATGGGCCTGTTGTACTGAACGATAATGTGAAGGGCACTGTTCCCTTCATTGTCCACAGCATTCACCTCAGCACCACAGTCCAGCAGGAGCTTTGTGACAAGCGCGTTTGGAAAGCTGCAGACATCATTGGTGTGGAAATCATCAACTGGGGTATTCGAGTTGACAGCTAGATGCAGCAAGGTGAAACCTTCACGAGTTCTGGGATCAAGGTGAATCAGGTTGTAGATCTGCTTGTTAATTTTGCACTGATCTTCTTCACTGCACTGCGTTTTGGTGGAAATGCACACTAAATACAGAAAAGTATAGAGATTACATTCATAATTGTCCATAGCACTGTGGACGTCAGCATCTGGAATATTTTTTACTCTGTTCATACTTTGTTCTATTTCCAAAACACTGCATCTCAAAACACATTCTATGTCTGGGGCCTTCACAGTTTCATTCAAATGTATCATCTGTGAAAAAACCTGGGCAAATCGAAGAAGATCCTTATGGGTATTCCTGTTACCTTTCTGTCTGAGGTGCAGGGCATGAAGCCACAACTTGATACACTGTTCGAATTCCATGTTATCTGCATAAACAGCTCCCCTGTAAATGATGGGATGGGAAACATCAATGTTGTCGGCACCTAAAATCCGTTCCCGAACTATAAGGCCTTCCATATGAAGAGCATCTCTGTCTTGCCGAATGGATTCCAGTTCCTGAGGATTTCTACATTCAGTTCTATTCCCATAGGCATGGATTGGTGGGAGAACCTCTTTCTCAAGAATGTTATCACCATCTTGAAACCTCTCCAACATAGCTAAATATAAATAGTGGTATGTCTTCATGATGTCATAGTTCTCACGGTCATTTGCAAAGGAAGCACCCAAGAGCTCCAAAGCTTCAATCCGACTTCTTCGGTCACAATCAGCATGAGAGAGCAACAGTTCGACAACATCAGCTTTACAGCTTTCAGCAGCTACTTTTAATGGCGTCATCCCATGGCCGTTCACTACTATAGCAGCACGCCATTTTATCAGCTCCTTCACAATATCTATATGCCCAGCTTCAGCTGCAAAGTGCAATGCTGTGGCTCCACAATGTGCTTTAGCATTTGGATCAGCACGTTGTTCTAAAAGGTACCTGACCACATCAGTGTGTCCTTTATAGGCTGCAATCATTAGGCAGGTGTTGTCATACTTGTTGGCAATGCTGATGTTGGCATTATTTTCAACCAAGTATTTCACAATGTCCAATCTGCCATCAAAGCATGCTGCCCGTAGCGGGGTTGAGTTAGTTACTGTGGTATGGTTCACGTTGGCTCCATGACTGACTAGAAGCTTAACAACTTCAAAATGTCCTGCCCCTGCTGCACACCAAAGAGCGGTGGCACCATCAATGACATACCTATTCATGAAAAGAACGAACAGTTAGAAAATGGAGGTTACCTGCCCTAACGTAAATTTAAAGGATGTATTCATTTACACTGACCCAAAATCTCAATCTACAGAGCGTTAGTAAAACATTAGTTTGGCTGAAAATAAAATCAGGTAATTTAAGTAAAGCACTTTGCATAGTACTTGTACCTAGTATGAGCTCAATAAATGTTAGCGACTGTCGTTATTACCAAAGTATAAAAACTAAAAAAAGAAGAAAAAACGAATCACTGACTTGCTACTAGCAAAAGTAAATAAATTTCAGAAAACAAAGAGGAAATGTATGGAGTTTTGTAACTTCTTGACCACCAAGCTGATTCACTGGCTCTTAGGAGCACAGCATGTTCCTCCCTCCCAGCACCCCCTAGGTACCACAGTTTCATTCAGTACATCAGTGAGAAAGCCATCCCAATCTCTGCATTAACATTGTGTTAGAAACTGCTTTAGGAAGAAAAGTATTTAAGCAGATAATTTTTCCCTAAGATTATCTAAGTTAGTAAGTATTATACTCTACTACAGCAGTGAGAAAGAAACAATTACTGCCCCAACATGCATGGTACAACCTTATAACACAGGTCAAATTCTATCTCCCTTGAAGTGAAAAAGAGTACAATCCACCTGGTATTAATATAAATACCATAGTTTAACCGCAATTATCAATACCATCTATCACTTCTGCTGAAAATAAAAGACGCACTTTATAAACATGCAAGCAATTACTTCTTCAGTTTCAAATAATGACGCAAAATGTTTATAAGCAAAAGCATTCCCGGTAACAGTTACCTATGGGGTGACCTATGGGGGAGGGTGTAGTATTCACTCGGATGAGGCTTAAAGCTACTAGAAATGTACTATATTTTGATCTGGGTAGTGGCTACGTGGGTGGACATTTAGGGGAAAAAACAAATCAAACTGTACATGAAAGATTTGTACATTTTACTGTATGAAAGACATACCTCAAAATAAATTTGAGACTTCTGAAGTTTCTTTTTAAAATTTCATCTTTTTAATGTCATTTAATTGTTAATTGATTTTTTAAACTAAAGAATGAATCAAGAAAATAAGACATTACATCAGTTGAAATGTTTTAGTGGTTGCCAACTGTACCTTTTGCAAACAATTCAGTTTAATTAAAATTCACTTATTACATTTTTATTGTCATGATTATAAACACAAAGTTCAAAAAAGTTTTCTTTCACTGTCAAAAAAATAAAATTTTCAACAGCATCAGAAAATACCAATATATGATACTAAATCTAATGAAAAATGTACAAGACTTCTACATTGAAAATTACAAAACATTCCTGAGATAAAGACCTAAAGAAATGGAGAAATATTCCATGTTTATTGTTTAGGAGATTCAATAATGTTAAGATGTCAGTTCTCCCCCAAAATAATCTACAGATCCAATGCAATCCGAAACAAAATCCCAGCAGGGTTGTGTGTGTGTGCACATGCACAAATGTGTGCATGCATCCACATATGTGTAGATATTGACAAGCCAATTCTAAAATTTATATAGAAATGCAAAGGGGGACTTCCCTGGTGGCACAGCAGTTAAGAACCCGCCCACCAATGCAGGGGACACGGGTTCGAGCCCTGGTCCGGGAAGATCCCACATGCCGCGGAGCACCTAAGCCCGTGCACCACAACTACTGAGCCTGCGCTCTAGAGCCTGCAAGCCACAACTGCTGAGCCCACGCGCCACAACTACTGAAGCCTGTGTGCCTAGAGCCTGTGCTCCGCAACAAGAGAAGCCACCGCAATAAGAAGCCCGCGTGCCGCAACCAAGAGTAGCCCCTGCTCGCCGCAACTAAAGAAAGCCCACACGCAGCAACAAAGACCCAACACAGCCAAAAATAAATAAATTAATTAAAAAAAAAATGCATGGCTTCCCTGGTAGCGCAGTGGTTGAGAGTCTGCCTGCCGATGCAGGGGACACGGGTTCCAGCCCCGGTCCGGGAAGATCCCACATGCCGCGGAGCGGCTGGGCCCGTGAGCCATGGCCGCTGAGCCTGCGCCTCCGGAGCCTGTGCTCCGCAACGGGAGAGGCCACAACAGTGAGAGGCCCGCGTACCACAAAAAAAAAAAAAAGAAAAACAGAGGCAATACATTACTACTATAATTTAACTTCTAAATCAATTTAAAGAAAAAGTTTAAATAAACACAAATAGCTAATAATTTCCATGTGCCAAGCACTGTATTAAGTGCTTAATATATAGTATATCTTATTTAATTCTCATAATAACCTTCTCCCAATAATCCTATAAGGTAGATACTATTATTACGCCCATTTTAAAGACATATAACTAAAAGGCTTACATGAGATTAAAAATACAAAAGTACTTTGGAAACTATATAATGCATCAAATGTAAGGAAACAATACATGTCATTGTTCAGACATGTTTCAATTTTAAAAGCTTTTTTTTAAAAAACTTCTTAATATAATCTATCCAAAAAATCAATACATACTTAACATATAGTTATATTTACATAGTTACAAAGTTTCCTTGCACGCCTTAAGAATATTATTTGCCAAGAACATGAACATAAACTAAGTAAAAACTCAAGAAATGTTACATTAAAATAGGCATTCACATACATTATCTTTAACTCTTGCAATAACCATATAAGATAAATAGGACTCCCATTTTAAAGATGGAAAAAAAAGAGACAAAAGTAATTAAAATTTTTTTCTGGCCTCAAATTTCCCAGAACTAATGACATGAGTAAAAATTAAATTACAAGTATATACCTCACTTGGTTTTTATAATCGTTTAATACTTTTCCTGGTGTAATCTAATAATTTCCATTTTCCCTATGGTGATGTGACAGGAGCCTAAAAAAAGTTTCCATTATCTATTTTTATTGAGACAATTAAAATTTTTTAAATAGTTTATGACAAAATATTCATTGTAGAATGTTACAGAATGACTAATCCTTCAGAAACATTAGCCTTAGTGATTTTTAAATTTCTACATCTAAATAAAAACATTAAACAGATTAAAGGGAATTATAATCCTAACATCTATGACATTTTTTGTCCATAAAATACAGCTAAAATTATAGCCATATACTGCCTCAAAACAAAATGCCAAACACATTTATAACAAAATGAACAGAAAATAAATAAAAATATAATCAAATTAATGCAATATTTACTTAATGCCTATGGGAGAAGCACTATAAAACAATGATCTTTCTAGATTGAGTCTAAAATTGCAATGCAAACTATCTATTATGTATTTCATCTTAAAAATGAAGAAACTTGGGACTTCCCTGGTGGCTCAGTGGGTAAGAATCCACCCGCCAATGCAGGGGGCACCGGTTCAATCCCTGGTCCAGGGAAGATCCCACATGCTGCAGAGCAACTAAGCCCGTGCACCACAAATACTGAGCCTGCGCTCTAGAGCCTGCAAGCTACAACTACGGAGCCCATGTACTGCAACTACTGAAGCCTGCGCACCTACAGCCCACGCTCTGCAACAAGAAGCCACCGCAATGAGAAGCACACGCGCCGCAATGAAGAGTAGCCCGGGCTCACCGCAACTAGAGAAAGTCCGTGCACAGCAACAAAGACTCAACGCAGCAAAAAAAAAAAAAAAAAAAAAATCAAGAAACTTTAATCTGATATTCACCTTTTAAACAAAATGTATGCATCAGATGATGGAAACATTTCACAATAAAAGATAACATTTCTGATCACAAAACTAAACTCATGTATTTCCTGGTTCGATCTGAAATAAAAATGTCTGGTTCAAGCATTTGAAATAGAAATAAAAATTCATTAAATGTAAATGACAGCACTTTATTTTAAACAAAATCCTTAAAATCATTTATCAGATCATATGTAGTTCCTTGAAATATACACTGGAAATGACTTTCTAAATGAAGCCAAATGACGATGTGCCCCTTACGCCTTTCCTCTACCTGGACATTTATTAGAAGTATTAGTACTGGAACTGACTTTATAAGAGTACTCAACAAAAAGCCTCAGAATTCCCAGAGGTCCTGTTCTCCTTCCCATCCATGTCAGCAAACTTCTAGGACAAGAGTTCCCCACAAACTCTGGCACACAGCAGTCAGGCCCTCAGAACTCAAACCAGCACAGAACTCCAAGGTCACATGACACCTCCCCTTTGTTATGTTCCATTTCTATAACATTCTTAACAGCTTCCCGTACTCCAACTAAAGGTTCTTCTTTCATTCCCGTTCATGTAATTTTTCTTTTTTAAAAAAATTTATTTATTTATTATTATTTTTGGCTGCGTTGGGTCTTCACTACTGCGCGCAGGCTTTCTCTAGTTGTGGTGAGCAGGGGCTATTCTTGTTGCGGTGCGTGGGCTTCTCACTGCGGTGGCTTCCCGTTGCGGAGCTCTAGGTGCGCGGGCTTTAGTAGTTGTGGCTCAAGGGCTCTAGAGCGCAGGCTCAGTAGCTGTGGCGCACGGTCTTAATTGCTGCGCGGCATGTGGGTTCTTCCGAGACCAGGGATCAAACCTGTGTCCCCCTGCATTGGCAGGCGGGTTCTTAACCACTGCGCCACCAGGGAAGTCCCAATTTTTCTTCTTATCCACTCATCTATGTCAATTGTGGTCGTTACACAGTGAGCCATAAGTAAAATAATCTCAAATGTTACTCCTAAAAATATGTACAAGGACTCAAATATCAGCATCGGGCTTAATCTAGGTGGGTGGCACCGTCCCCCTTTTGAGGCTCTATTATGAATATACTTTAGTTTTCTAAGGTATTCTAGATGTTTTTAGGCAGAGTATAGGCTTATTTAAATAAGTTATTTTAATGTCTATGTGTCTCTCTATCCCTCTCTCTGTTTCTGTTTCTCTCTCTCTCTCTCTCTCTCACTCACACACACACGCAGAGTACCATATCAAACCCCATAATTACACAGATACTGTTGCTTAGGATGAAGCTAAGAAGTGAGACTTTCTTTTAATATTAGGCAAATAACAGGATAGGTGGTGAACGATTTGGCAAAAAATTGTGAAGATGGTACATAAATTACTGAAAATTAGGAAACACTAATCTACTTCAGCCCACAAAGAACCTGTTTGTCCCTATCTGGCCATGGGTCTCAAGTACCAGTGGAATCTAAAGAAGGGGGGTTGGCTAAGTACCTCTCAAAAGCCAGTCCCTGAGGGGTGAGTGAGCTTCATATTATTAACACCTCACTCAGACTAACATTTTCACACTGTCTGGAATGAATGTAAAGTGAAATCATGACATTTGCAAGTAACACCCTCTTCATCTATTTCTGAAATGCCTAAATGACTGGAACAAACTGCAAAAGAATCTCACAGAGTGGTGTGAGTGGGCAGAAAGGTGGCCATGAATTTCAGTTCTTCTCTTTTGTTAATCGGTAAGCTCCTCGAAAGTAGAAACTTTACATTTTCTTCTACATCTTCCACATTATCTGTGTGGCACAGGGCTAGGCCCATCACAGGCATTTAATAAGTTAAAAAACAAAACTACTTTGACAGAGCAGCTAATAAATCCATAACTGTAATAATCCATAAACAAAAAAAGACAGATTGAAGAAGCCTCACACAAAATCTCAAATGATAGAAATCTGCAATTCCAGTCTCACCAATCTGACTCTTGAAATTTTACACAAGGATCATCAAAATCTGGCCTCCACCTCACTCTAGTCTCCCACAATCTCTCTTAATTTCCCAGGCTTGAACCCCTTACTGAAACTGCACTGAAACATTTGTCATTGCAAGAGCACCATGCCGCCGTCCCTCTTCTTCACTCTCTACTATCCTTTAAGACTGAGCTCAAATATCACCTCGGCTGTGAAGTCTTCCCTGATTCTCCCAGGCAAAGCTGAGCACTTCCTCTCCCTGTGTTCCCTCAGTAGTCCAAAAGATTTCTATAACCCTAAATGGCATGGCATCTCCACTTACTCATTTTCATCAATTTCTTACCTCTGCCACACACCACGCCCCACCTCCAGCCCCCGCCCAGGGCAACAGACTGTCTCCCTCTGCAGTGGGAACAGTATGTCATTCATCTCTGCACACCCAATCCCTACTACAGAGCCTGGCACACAGTAGGTGTTCAAAATATGTTTGCTTATTGAACCCTTTAATTTCACTGGCCAGTGCAAAATACTGGGCAAGGTAAGCCACTACACAGGCTCAATGCTACATTCCTAGCCATTTCAGGTTCTCTTAATTGCCACCTCAAAACACCTTTCTCTTTGATGGTTAAGAAAGATAAGCAAAGCCCTTCCAAATGCTTTAGAAAACTATATTTTCTCGCCACTGTTCTCTCCTAATCAAAACAGGCCTCAGCAAGCTCCTTAGCAGCAGTGTAACCAGTAGCTGTTACTGCAGAGATTCGTATCTCAATGGATGCTTGTGCCCATACAACTGGAATGGTGCTGGAAGTTCAGGGGTCATCCTACTTCACTCCTCTGCGTATAGAAAAGGCTGTGGGAATGCAGGGAGTTACAGAAAGCACACAGAAGCTAGTAAAAGAAAACGAACAAGAATCAGGTTGCCATCTTTGATTAATATGTAAAAGACCATCTCCTTAACGTCTAGAGAGGTGGTACCAGAGGTTAACCACCACCCGTGGGCTATCATTTCAGTAAAATGTAATACCCTGAAATAGTTTCCTGTCATCTAAAACAGAAGAAAAAGCTCTTATTATTTCAACCTACAAAAAGAATCAACCAAAATCAACAATGCCCTACTCATCTTCAAGAGGAATTGTTTTTTCCATCAGGTTTTAACCAAGCAGTTTTCAATCACCAAAACTAAAGATACGTATCTTTATGCTAGGACCACATCTATCTCAAAAGAAGAAAATGCTAGAATAGCTTATGTACTGGCACAAGTCAACAAAAACAATTAATGCATCTTCATGCAGTTGTAATCTGTAAAACAGGTTATAACCATCCAGCACAGAAAAGATAACGTCAAACCTGACAATTCTGCATTCAACTCTATCATACCCAAAAATATGTACAATTAAACCTAAAGGGCAAGTTTTAACTCTGACAATATGAATTTTTGAACTCCCCACCTGGAATAACTATATCATCAAGCTTCCCCACAACATCACAGAATAACATGTAATTTAACAATGGCATCACCTCATCTACACCAGGTCCGGTGCCATTTTCACAGCCAACACATCTACCCCCAGCAATGTGTAAGAGTCAGAATCATGTCTTGGGAAGCCTGGCTGTGTGACCACCCCTCAAGAGGCTGCAACTGCTGCTGGTTCTAGGCGCTTATTTTGACATTAAGGTCCCACAACCCACTAAGGGGCTTTATCGGACACTCACGTGAAGGGGTAAAAATTGGGTGGCCAAATAACTCATCAAACAAAGGTCTTCAACGTTAATTGCTGACCTCGTTAATTTCTGATCTCGGTTACAACCCCAGTACTGATAAAGTGAAAACATGAAACGGCTGCTACCTCCTCCATACTGCTTCTTCACAAACTATCTAGTAAAGAATACAGAATACCTATTAGGTATCAAGACAGAGGGTGTGACTATTTACCTATAGAGGGAATAAGGGGTAGGGGCCAATGAGGATGAGCAGCAAAACATGGGATGGAGTATTCGCTCTAGAAGATGAAGTGGGCATTAATGAGGCAAGTCAGGAGGTACAAAATGGGAGAAGTGATACCTCCATGAAGCGAGAGAGAGGGAGGGGAAGACCCATAAAGTGGTGGGTCCGCGCGCGTTAGAGAGGAGGCTGGAGTTGGGATGTACCTACCCGTCGAAGCGGACAGTGCCAGTCTGCTGAGTCTGCACCCGGTAATGTTCTAACAGCAAGCGCACCACCTTGGCGTGCCCATTGCGGGCTGCGATGATGAGGGGCGTGGAGCGCTGCCCTCCCTGCTGGCTGACATAGCCAAGCAGATAGCGGATGTCGCTTTCAGACCGGTTGAGAAGCAAGGCGGCCAGAGTCAGCACCTTGCCCTCGCTGGCCGCCTTGTATACATAGCCAGCCAGGCCCTCCATGGCCGCTGCCAACTCCAACACCCGTTTGGTCGCCACCGCTGCTGCTGCCTTGCGCCCCTGGAGGCCGTGTTCTCCAGCGCTTCAAACCTGGGCCCTCACAGCCCATTCAACAGGGCGCCGCCGCCGCCGCGCCCAGGCAGCAGCGCGGCCAGGGGAGGGCGGAGACGCAGAGGTGGCCGAATGCCGCGGGGGGCAGGTCAGCGATCCAGGCCGGGCAGGGAGGAGGGCGGTCAGGGCCGCCCCCAAGGCCCCAGACGCCAGCCCTGGGCCGAGGGGATCTCCATGGTGGCCGGGCCTCAGGCTGGACCCCTCCTTCCTGCGGGCTGCGACAGGCGCGTGCCCGAGCTACGGGTCGCCGGCGAGGTCCCAAGAGGGCTGCGCGCGCCCTGGATGGCGAATGATGGACGCGCTTCACCCGACCCAGCCCGCCGGGCCTAGGGCCTGAAAGTGCTTCTGCCTCCGCCTCCGCTCTGCGTCCTCCCCAGCTGGAGGAAACCTGCAGACCCTCGCCCACTGGAGCTCAGAAGAGCCAGACGCTGTCTGTCGGTAGCTTCAGAGGTCCACGCCTGGCGAGGCCCCCAGAGAGAGGCGGAACGCTGCGGCCACAGCAACCCCTGGGCTCTGGACGGGGAGGAAGGCGGGCCTCTGCAGAGAGGGCTGAGGCGGGGAGGGTGCGAGCGGGGGACGGTTAAGTGGGGTGTCTCTTCCAAAGCAGACCGGCCGGCGAACGAGGCCCGATGAAGAAAGGTTCTGCGGCGCGAAGGCGGCCCATCCCCACTTCGGCCCGGGATGTCCTCATTGCCCTTGATGCCTGGAGCTTCCAACTCGCCCCCACTAGGCCCTGGGGGTCCCTAGCCAGGGAGTGGGACAGAGTGAAGGCGCTGAACCGTTACTGCCGGTGGGTTTTGGGGCCCGCCCCGTTTTACCGTAGACATTGCGGGGCTCTTCTCAGCCCCTGTTTGGGGGCCCGGGGAGGGGGGCGCGTGCACCCGGCGGGGTCCGTTTTGAGAACAGGGCGGCGTCTCTGAGCCCCCGAAATGTGGGAGGACTTTGAGGGTCTGCACGAGGCTCTGAGAAGGAACTGGAAGTCCGACCTGCCCTCCCTGGAGAGGAGGATTAAGTGTGTGAGAAAGGTCGGGAGAGATGGGGAACTGTGGAAAGGGGCGAGGTACCCTGGGAAGGAAGACGAAGTCTGTGTTCGGACAGACCAGGACTCTAATCCTGAATCTGACGGGACCTTCGGTTTTCTCACAGACCTCACCAGATTGTTAGGGTTTGAAAAGATCATTCATCCAACGAATATTAGAGATCTACTATGTGCCAGGCTCTGCTTGGCTCTAGGGATTCAGTGATAGACCAGATAGACACAGTGCCCTTCAGGGACTGTGTTGTTGCGGGGAAAACAGACAATAAACAAGTAAACAAATAATAGACAAGACTGGCTGAGTTTGTATCATTACCATTTGCTATGAAGCAAATGAAATAGAGTGATGGGGGATGGGAGGCGGAGCTAATTTAGTTTGGACGGTCAGACAAGACCTCCATGACAAGGAGAACAGGTGGTATTCTAGGTGGAGGGAATAGCTAGTACAAAAGCCCTGAGGAGGGAACAGTCTTGGTGAGTTCAGAAACAAAGGTCAGGGTGGCTGCAGCAAAGTGGGCCATAGGAAGAGTGATAGGAGAGGAAATCAGCAGGGTGTAGGTCATCTTAGGGCCCAGTTACCCATGGTAAAGTGTTTAAATTCTACTCAAGTGTAGTGGGGTCATTTGAAGAGTTTTAAACAGAAAAGTGACAAGATACAATTTATATTTTTTAAAAGATCACTCTTGCTACTGTGTAAAGAATAAACTGTAGTAGGCAGGAGTCAAAGCAGGAAGGCTACATTTAGGAGGAAAGGTTGGGACTAGGATGGTAGGAGTGGAGGTGATGAATCTCATGGGGCAGTCACAGAAGGTATAAGTTCAATATGGAGGTCACTCCCTCCATACACACACAAAGGACAATATCTACCATAGAGAAAGAGCAAATACATTTATTTGGTCCCAAGGGACCAGGCTGAGCTCAATGAGTTCACATAAATTATTTCATTTGAACCCCACCCTTCCAATCCTAGTTGGTGAAGGCGTCATCTTAGCTGCAGAGCTATTGGTGAGGGTTTGGGCCACTTCTCAGATTTTTCTCTTCCACTCTACAGTACAACTTTATCTATTTTCAGATCTCTACACTTTTTCACCCATGTTAAACAAAAACAACACTGGAAATCAGAGCTGAAGGTGGGGTTCTACCAGTAGAGTCTCTGAAATAACTGGTGGAAAAGAAGGGGAAGCTGGTTGTTCTCATTCTGGGGCTTCAGGTTTGGAAAAAATTCCAGTTCTTGACAGACTGAGCCAGGCTTTTTGGCCTCTGGGCACTTGGCGGTGACACATTCGGATGTGGGACCTGGGGGCTCCCTTCCAACTGATTTCATTCCTAGGCTCTACAGAGCAACTAGTCTCCTCCTATTCTCTCCCCGTCTCTCCCTCTCTCTCCCTCTCCCTCCTTTCCTCCCTCTCCTTGCGGCCCTTTGCCCTGCAGCATTCTTTTCACACCCAACTTTTCGAAGGTGATCCAGACACAGGCCCCTTTCACACCCAGCTTTTGAAGGTGATCCAGACACAGGCCCCTTCTTCCCTTTGGTTTCATTTTCTGAAAGAGACCTGATTCATCCAGCTATCCATTGCTGAGTAAGAAACTTTCTTCTGGGACTTTCCTGGTGGTCCAGTGGTTAAGACTTCACCTTCCAATGCAGAGGGTGCGGGTTTGATCCCTGGTAGGGGAGCTTAGATCCCACGTGCCTCTGGGCCAAAAAACCAAAACATAAAACAGAAGCAGTATTATAACAAATTCAATAAAGACTTTAGAAACGGTCCACATCAAAAAAAGAAAGAAAGAAAGAAACTTTCTTCTGCCTCTTCTTGCCCTTTTTTTTTTGCGGTACGCGGGCCTCTCACTGCTGTGGCCTCTCCCGTTGCGGAGCACAGGCTCCGGACACGCAGGCTCCAGACGCGCAGGCTCAGCGGCCATGGCTCACGGGCCCAGCCGCTCTGCAGCATGTGGGATCTTCCCGGACCGGGGCACGAATCCGTGTCCCCTGCATCGGCAGGCGGACTCTCAACCACTGCGCCACCAGGGAAGCCCCTCTTGCCCTTTTGAGATGAACTAGGGTTCATCCTGGTGCTGACACCTCAAATTTGGTTGTGTAACTGGATGAGTGCTAGAAAGGATGACTAAACCAAGAGTCATGCCAGAGAGGGGCTCAGAACTTGCACTTCCGGGCCTCCTCCCCCAGATGGGAATATACTTCTGCTCCAGCAGCCCAAGGTCAGGAACCTTCTTTATTTATCACAGTTGCCTAGTATAGGGTTCTGGGCTCCTTGGGTTGCTCAATAGCCATTGACTGGAGAGTATTTGGTAGCCTATATTTACCTGGGCTTGGAGGATGATGTTTCTGTGGTCAGGCTGGGCAAATTAGAGACAGGATGTATAAACAGGACAAGGCTGCTTTCCCAAAGGCCAGAGCCCAGAAATAGCTCCTTGTGCTTCTGACCTATTCCCTTCCCCTTTGACAGAAAGCCACTGAGCAAATGATCAATAGTAAAATGTAACTGAAAATAGTTGTATCCAGATGGAGATTGATTTGCTGATGACAGCAAACTGCAACCTTCTACCTGGACAAAAGACAGGACCAGCATCCAGCACTTTGTTTTCTGGGGATTGGAGGTGACCTATGAGCAGAATTAGCTGTACCTTCCATAGAATATTCCTTTTTCCAAGCCAGGTCAGCCCAGCCTACAGCTCTGAATCAATGGAGTTTCTCAGATTTTGTATAAAATGTATTCAAAATGTCATTTTTCAAGCACCAGTAAAGATACTTGTTTTAGTCCTGTAAGCCTCCCACAGACTCTAATGGAAGAGGATGACTTTTGGTGTTGAATAGATCTGGGTTGGACTCCCTTCTCTGTGGGTTAGCTGTGGCCTTGGGCAAATTTCTTCATCTGTACAATGGGAGTAATAAATACTTTCCTTGTAGGGCTGGTGTGATGGTGACAGGCAAGCTCCTTCCCGCAGCCTCGTCCTGCGAAGGAGTGCCTATCAGTACACATTAGTTTCCCTTCTTCCTAGCTCCCACCCCAGTCATACTTCCATTGTGCCGTTAACCTGTTCAAGAAAGGACTTCCCATCTGCATTCTCCCTGCAGGATGTGTCTGCCTCTGGACACATATGGAAAGTAAATCCATAGTATGCAAGGGGCTGGGGAGGTTAATTGACAACAGCTGGGAAATTCCAACAGAACCTCCGAAGGAAGATGTCAAAAATCAGACTGACGACCAATCTCTATTAGCCCAGTTTCAGGGGACTGGCAGCCCACTAGCCTTTGTCTCCTCCTCCTCTCTCTCCTAGACTTGCCCTGAAAAGCAGATGTAATAATTGTCAAAGACAAAACCTAAGGTGGAGGAGAGGGGGCAGCTGGTCTGTGTTATTTCCCGAGCCAGTTCACCCCTGCCAGGTTTAGGTTTACCAGGAAAGTAGACTGAAGTTGACATGTGCCTTCTTTCTTCTGACCCCATTCCTCCCTGAATCATGGTACCAGTCAGGTACCCTGGGATTACAATAACAGAACTAACAATAGCGAGCTCATACTGAGTGCTTACCGTGTGCCAGGCATCATAGTAAACACTGTATACAGATTAGCATGTTAAATTTGCACAAGCCTCTGAGGGACATGCCATTATTATCATTCCCATTCTTCAGATGAAGAAACTGAGATAGAAGTGTTGTGTAACCAGATGTAGAGAACAAACGTATGGACACCAAGGGGGGAAAGCAGCGGCGGGTGGGGGTGGTGGTGTGATGAATTGGGAGATTGGGATTGACATGTATTCACTGATGTGTATTAAACTGATGACTAATAAGAAAAAAAAAATAGCACAAAGGACATACAAAAACAACAAAAAAAGAAAATGCACTGGAGAGCAGGGAAAGATTTTTTTAAAAAAGAAAAAAGAAAAAGAAAGAAATGTGTAACTTGCTCATGGCCTCATAACTAGAGTGTGTTAGAATGTCAGGATTTGGTTGCTGGGTGTCTGACCCCCATGCCCTGACCCTGCTACCAGCTTTCTGTTCCCTCTTTATCCCCCTCTGAATGGCCCCCACCCAGCCTGCTCTCTGCAGCTAGGATCTTGGCTGGAGGTCCCCAAGGCTTTCTATGGTCCTGATCACTTCTCCTGGGCTTAGGTGCTAGTTAGCTAATCTGATCATCCATCCTTTGTTAATGGGAGAGGGCTAGAGGAAATTCTTCCCCACCTGGCAATCCCACACACACCCTGGACGTTCCTCATTCCTACCCAGGAACACAGGTCCAAATCCAAAGCAAACGCTGTCTCATCCTAGAGATCTCCCTTGTTTTGCCCTGAGCTCTGTCCCACTTTATACCTCTGTTGGAACCCTTACCTCTTTCTTTTTTTTTTAATATTTGTTTATTTATTTGGCTGCGCTGGGTCTTAGTTACAGCACACGGGATCTTTGTTGCCGTATGTGGAATCTTCGTTGCGGCATGCTGGATCTTTAGTTGCGGCATGCAAACTCTTAGTTGTAGCATGTGGGATCTAGTTCCCTGACCA